GGCTGGCCTCGAACTCACAGAGATCCGCCTGGCTCTGCCTCCCGAGTGCTGGGATTAAAGGCGTGCGCCACCACCGCCTGGCTAAATGTAATATATCTTGAAATAATATTCTACAACAAGCCTTGCTCACTCAGATAAATAAAAACTGATAAATTTTTGGACTGGGCATGGTACCTCACACCTGTAATCTCAGCACTCAAGAGGCAGGCAGGAGAATTACCACAAATGTGAGGCCAGTCAGGTCCTTGAAACAAGCTTTAGGCCCGGCAGGGCTGCATAGTGAGACTATCTCAAGAAATTTTTTTTTTTCTAATTGATTGTGTTTATATGTACATCTTGCTTTGGTTTTCAGGAAAATCAAACATTTTCGTTTGTTTTCTTTTTCTAATCAGGTCACTATTGTGGGAATAATCAGACATGCAGAGAAGGCTCCGACCAATATTGTTTATAAAATAGATGATATGACTGCTGCACCCATGGATGTTCGCCAGTGGGTTGATACAGATGTAAGTGTCTTGTATCAAGGTGGAACTACTTCAGGACTTTAGATGTTCAGCTTTTCAGTTTAACCTTTTGAAGCATTTTCTTAGTGTAAAAATACATGAGCAAAATACCAAAGGTAACTCCAAAGATGAGAACGCAATAGATTTGACCACATAAAAATTTAAAACCACCTAAAATACTGTGTAAGATTTAAAGGCAAGTGACAGAAGACAGTAAAAAGTACATTCTCTGAGAAAAGCATTTTCTTTTGGTCATCACCGTCCCTAACACCTAGAATAGTGCCTATCACACAGTGGGCCTTGAATAAATACTGCTTAAATGAATGGGAAGCATACTGGGACATACTGAAAGAGTTTAATAAAAAGCTCTATAAAGTAAAAACAAGTACTATACCTTAGACAATGAGCAGAGACAGATACATAGGTCATTTATAAAGGACCAGATAAAAATGGCAGTAATGATACAGGCCAGACTTAGTAAGCATTGGAAATGAGTGATAGTTTCTAATTTGGGTCAGAGTAGTCCTAGCCCAGTGTTTGTGACATCTAGAAAATAACCATTTGTTGACTTGTCGTTTCTTTCTTTTTTTTTTTTAAATAAGGAAATGGCTACTATGCAACCTGGATAGTATGAGTATAAACTGATGTATTTTACCAAAGCTCACCCTGTACTGAAACCCCTCAGTTAAAAATTGACCTTGCTGGGCGTGGTGATGCAAACCTTTAATTCCAGCACTTGGGAGACAGAGGCAGGTGAATCTCTGAGTTCGTGGCCAGGCTGATCCTACAGAGCAAGTTCCAGGACTGACAGGGCTACACACACACACACACACACACACACACACCCTGTCTTACAACACCAAAAAAAAAAAACAAAAAAAGTGTTGACCTACAAATCTACTTCCAGGAATTTATATTAAGGAGACAAAGATGTGTACTAAGATTTAGTTTAAGGGTGTTGACCAGGCAGGATGCAGGAATGACTCAGCAGTTAAGAGCATTGGTTGCTCTTCCAGAGGACCTGAGTTCAATTCTCGGCATCCACGCTAAAAGAAAAAAAGACTGTTGACCAGTCTGGTGTGGTGGCTCATGCCTGTTTATACTCCATTAAGTTAGCTGAATCTGCAGGATTGCTGTAAATTCTAGACGATTGTGAGTTAATAGTTCCAGGATACCTGGACTACATTTAGAGGACCCAGTCACACACACCTTAAAACAGACAGTAGCAAAAGAACTGGGAGTTCTGTTTCCCGTACCAAATAAGCTGGGTATGGCAGCAAAGCAGGCCTGTGCTCTTGTACTTGGAAGATAGAGGCAAGAAGATCAGAAGTTCACGGTCAGCCTTGGCCATGTATTAAGTCTGAAGTTGAACCTGTGTTACATGAGACCTTATCAAAAAAATCAAAAGTAAGTAAAAGACGTAGTGATGTGTTTGTATTTTATCTGTCAGGATGCCAGCGGTGAGAACACTGTGGTTCCTCCGGAAACGTACGTGAAAGTGGCTGGCCACCTCAGGTCCTTCCAGGTGAGGTCAGAGGGCAGCTTCCCAGGCTGGGCATGGCTTGGGTGAAGACCTCAGTTTGTGTCCTCTGGACCAAAGAAACCAGAGTCACCAGACTTGGAAATCACACCTGTAACCTCAGCACTCTCATGGAGAAAAAGGAGGGGGAGACAGGTCCTGGAAAGCTCACAAGCAGACTGGCTTGACATACACATTGGTGAACAGGAAGAAAACCTGTCTCAAGGTAGAAGGCTAGACCAACACTCAAGATTGTCCTCTGATTTACACATGTGAGCTATGGCATGCAAATGCCTGTAGTTATGAACACGAATATACTCATCTTTAGATTTTAAAAGATGGTTGCTTTAAGATATTGGCACAAAGCAGGACATTGTGGCACGGACCTTTAACCCCAGCACTTGGGAAGTAGAGGCAAGCAGATCTTAGTTCAAGGCCAGCCTGGTCCTAGATAGTGAGTTCCAGTGTTTTTGTTTTGTTTTGTTTACTTTATCCCAGGCAGTTTTTCTGTGTAACAAACAGTCCTAGTTGTCCTGGAACTCCATTTGTAGACCAGGCTGGCCTGAAACTCAGAGAGATCTGCCTGCCTCTGCCTCCCGAGTGCTGGGATTAAAGGTGTGCGCCACCACTACCCGGCTCAAGTTCCAGTGTTAATAGTAAGACCTGGCTTCGAAAACAACAAAAAAGTTTCCTGCCAGGTGGTAGTGATACATGTCTTTAATTCCAGCACTCATGAGGCAGAGGCGGTCAGATCTCTGAGTTCAATGCCAGCCTGGTCTACAGAGTGGGTTCCAGGATATCCAGGGCTGTTAAACAGAAACCCTGTCTCCAAACAAAAAAAAAAAAAAATTTTTTTTTTTTTTACATGAAGCATTTCTGAATTTATGTCATTAGGAAAGTACATTAAATGGGAAGATATTTTGTTCTCTTCATTGAGAGGAAGTAGCTAAGTTTTTATCTTTAAACAGACATTGAAGCCACATGTGGTGACACATACCATTATTCTCAGTACCCCAGGAGGCAGAGGCAGATAAATTTTTCAAGTGTGAGGGACCTTGAGTTCTTGAGTTAAAATCACCAGGAGCTGTGTAAAAGCCAGGTGCAGAGAAGCAGCCTCTGTAATGCACCCATGGAGAGTTAGGAGACAGAGAATCCCTAGAAGCTGTGGGCCTACCTAGTCAAGTGAATATAGTAGAAAAACCACCTCTGTCTGTAGAAGGAATCTTAAAAGTTCTTATTAATAAAATCAAACCTGAGGCGAGTTATTGGGGTCCATGCTGGTAGATCAGAGAGACAGAACAAGCCACAGCTAACCTCACCTGGTCAACTTCTCAGCTGGTCCTGTTTCCTCAGACTGGAAGCTTCTGTGTCCTCATCCCAATGGCTCTCAGCTGAACTGCTGCTGGAAAGCCTGAAGCT